TATATATATATGAGTTTCCATCGTCCCCTCACACCAGATTGTCACAGGATTCCCTGAGGTTATCACAGAGCCTGGTTCAGCCCAGAAGGATGGTTTCAGGAGGGGCCCTGAAAAGAGGCAAGTGAGATGGATATGGGACTTTAAACAGTTGTACAATGAATGTGAAACTCAGACCTCACTCTTGAATAGCAGAAGGACACTTGGATCCATCTGGAGATCCATATCTTTGCTGACCATCACCAGCCCCCATTCTATTATCACAACACATCTCATTGGTTTCTGTATCTTGACTCCCACAGTCTGCATCTGTATCTGTGGGCTAATCCACCTGTCCTTTTCTGTGCTCACCTTACATTATGGTCCCCTGGGGAAATATGTTTCAGGTTCAGTGTCATTCAACAGAGAGGGTGGGGCTTCCTCTGAGACTAGATGCTACAGTATGTCTTTACCTTCTGACAGCACATGAGGATAGCTAACCTCCATCTTTTACTGAGTATGATGGGACCCACCTGGAACTTTGCAAGAGACAGCCTGGTATATGCATATTGTAAGTACATGGAGCTGGAGAAAGACTCATCCTTAATTAAAATGAACCACTTGTATCTCTGATTTGAGATACATGAGAGGATCACAGAGCCTTCTAAGATTATAACATATTTGACAGTGTAAACAGAGTGGTTTACTTTAGACACCTAGGAGAGATACAGATGAAATATTAAATGGGTTCACACAGTCTGGATTGTTCCCCAGACCTGACTAACACATGGAGATATATTCAGAGCACACTTTTATCTTAACAGTCACATCTGGGGATCCACATTACTCCAGAGTATTCAAACACTTTTATCTACCAGATCCAAGGTGTCTTGCATTCTGAAAATCCAGCAAAGTTGTGAGAGTAACAGTGATATCAGCCTGCAGTGTTATGACAGAAGGGATGGTGAATTTTGTCTAATTGTTGTGATTCTTTTGAGTCTGTCTGCCCCGGGGTTCTAGTCTTCTCTCTTTGTGTAGCACATATGTTTGGGTTCCTCAGGTCCCCTCACACCAGATGGTTACAGGACTCTCTGATGTGATCACAGAGACAGGCTCAGTTGGGAATATGAAGGATCCCAGAAAAGAAGTAGAGAGAAAGGAGGTGCATCTGTTAGGAGAATTGCACACAGAATTTCACCATTGCAGGGACACATAGGCTAATCTGCAAAAGTAGAAGGACACATAAAGACCATTGTAGCCAAATTTTTCCTGTGTCCTGTCCAGCTGGTAGTCAGGATAAATCTCTCCTTCAATAGTCTGGCCTCTCAATCAATCACCTTGCATCAGTTCCTTTCCTGGGATCCTGGGTCACTTGTAATTACAGTCATGGGAAAGTTCTGTTCTTCCTTACCTGAGACCAGAAGCTCGAGGACGCTACTGGGCACTGACCACAGCTTGGAGATGCTCAAGTAATACCCATAGCATGTGAACCTCCACCTCTGGTTGGGGGTCACAGGACCCACTGTGAACAGGGCTCCAAATAACTCAGGGTGTATATTCTGTGAGGGCAAAGCCGGGGAGAACTTCTCATCTTCCTTCATCAGAATGAACATGTTATATGGATGTTGTGACACACATTGCAGGGTCACATTTCCTCCTGCAGTCACCACTGGGCTGGGAAGTGCTGACAGGGTCACATTGCTGTTGTGAACTCCTAAGAGAGAAGAGGGCAAGAAACATACATGAATGTGTAGTGTGTATAAACAGACCTTCATAACAACAATTACCAAATCCACTTGCTTTCAACTATCTGACCACAGACAAAGGCCTCTATTTATTAATTTCAATAATGTTTGCCGTATCCTCATGTGCCCATATGAGCCATATAAGAAGCATTTTCCCCTCTTCACATATTTAAAAAGAGGGCCCCTCTCTGAACATACTCCTATCTTCAAGGAAATGCTGGGATTGTAGAGGGGTCCTCTCACCTGTCACCACTTGATCCAAGTAGTCACTGTGTTCTAATGCACCATTGGCGCTCTTATATTCACACATATATTGGCCTCCATTGTTCCATTCAATTGATGAGATAGAGAATTTGGCCAAGTTCTCAGTTTCTATAAGGGTTGTTGGAACCAAGCAATCTGGACTTCCTTCTTTGCAGAGACGGTATTCCTTGGCCTCTAAGGGCCCTTGACAGAAGAATGTCACTTGGTCTCCATTAGTAAACACATTTCCTGGAACTGCTCTGAGTATAGGTTTAAAGAGGACCCCTGCAAAAAAAATGACAGTTGGTTCCCCAAACTCCCTTTCAGATATGAGCTCTCAGACCCAAGACATTCTCAGGCATCCCCAGCAACAGCCCACACCTGTTGTTCTCAATCTTCTCTGTTCAGGAGTTATCTGTGATCCCCGTAAATGATGTTCAATCTGGAACAGCTGTGAAGACCCTCACCTGCCAATGATGGCATCCAGAGGACCAGATGATTCAGTGCTGCAAAAGAGATACCTTTGTTTGCACTGAAATATGTGAAGGCATCCACTTCCCAGCTATTTAAGCTACTATGCCTTCCTGATTGCACAAGGCATGGCTGTGGGGTGGATTCCCTCTCAGACAAGTATTATCCCTCCCTATCTTGGCATCTCACCTACACAGAGCATGTCTGGCTGAAACGTTTTCATGGCATCTTCCAATTGCCACAACTTTGCAGATAGTTGGTCCCATTGCCAAATGGAAATAAACAAAGTATTTGGGCTATGAAGGCTGTCTTCTTCTCCTTGGTGTCATGAAGATGTAATAGGAGCAGCTCTTGAGGAAGAAGAACTGCTCTTCTAAGACACATGATGCTTCTTTCTTCAGTGTTGTGGTGGGTTGGGCTACTGAATATGTGGCTTCTGCCTCTTTCTGGTCCTTTAGTTTTTGTGTTGGTTTCTGAGACAGAATCTCTTGAATCTCATGCAGTTTATAGTCTTCTTCCCCTTATCCCTCAGCTTCATGTGGACTGGGATTACAACCCCAAATCTCATTGTGGTTTCAACTTGCAGAATATGTCCATGTAAACATCTACTTCTGCCTGAATGTTCCCAGTGACCTCAGACCAAGACATAACATAAAGTGAACCTGGTGACATTCTGATGCAGCCCCTCACTTGAAGGTTCACACAGCTGGTTGGTATTTTTTTCTCAGAACTTCTTCTTGGTTCTCCTTGACCATCATGACCATCTCCACCAGCCAGATCAAACTTATGGATGGATTCCTATTCAGTCCTAGAGATCCTTTGTAAATGTTGTGTGAACTTTTCCTGGAGAAACATGACCAATGACTACTCATCCCAACTGTGACAGAAAAAGGCAAGACTCCACATAACTCTAACTGGTTAATAAATAATTTATATTATTGTTCCTTAGAAGCATGTAGTCAAATGTCTTTGGTTTTGTGTTTTGTTTGTTTGTGTTTGAGAAAGGATCTTGCAATGTACTTCTGACTGTTCCAAAACTGATTGTGTACACCAGACAAGATCCACCAATCAGTTTCAACTCCCAACTGTTGATGCCAATGTGCTCCTCTATGCTAAGCAATACTTGAAACTTTTCAGTGGTTATATCTCTGAAAAAAAAATCTTTGCCTGAAACTTTTAACTGTCTCTAGTTCTGAGAGAAGAGGAGTAGCCTCAGGACCCTCTACACTGTGAAAGAATACTGCTGTGTGTAATATGATCTACAGAGATTTCAACAGGCCAAAGGTCATGTCATGTCTGGGAATCAGTGACTCACAACGAGGGAAGATGCAGGTTGATGCTCCTGGGAGGATATAGCAGAAGGGACACACTGAGCACCTGATCTATGAGTTCTTCTAGATGAACACAGAGGAAACTATCAGGCTGTCTTATGTTTTCTATTGTTGTGAAGAAATAGTATGACCAAAAGGCAAATTGGGGAGTATATTGATTATTTGGCTTACACTTCAGCAATGCTGTTCATCACTAAAGAAAGTCAGGACAGGACCTCAAACAGGGCAAGATCCTGGAGGCAGGAGCTGATGCAGAAGTCATGAAAGGGAACTGCTTACTGGCTTGCTTTCTCTGGCATGCTCAGCCATGCTTCTTATAGAACACAGGACCACCAGCCTGGGGATGTCACCACCCACCATGGTGTCCTTTCCCCTGACCACTAATTGAGAAAATGCCTTGCAGCTGAATTTCTTAGATGTATCTCCTCTGCTGAGGCTCGTTCATCTGATGACTCTACTTGTGTCAAGTTGACATAAAAAGCCCAGCCAGAACTCCTGACTGCTTATGAAGTATACACACAAACACATCCCTATTAAGCCACATCTGTTCCTTTCTTTCTCATCACCAACATCTTAAATAACTTTAAAATCTCCTCAGCTATTGCTTCATAGTTCATGTGTTTCCATTAGTTTGACTATTTGTATCTGTGCTTTTTCCAATCTCGGTCTCAACATTTCTCACTTATACAATCCCTCCTATTTCTAGCCTTTAGACTCCTGGAGTTCCACCTGAGGCTTGGCAGTGGATCTTTGCATCTGCTTCCCTCAGTCATTGGATGAGATTTCTCTCAGGATTTTTAAATTCTCACAGTCTTTGCAAATTCAAAACATAAATTTTAGTCCCTTTTAAAAAAATCTCATAAAATCCAAAGTTTTTTAAAAGACTTTCTCTCAGCTATGGACTCAAATAAAATAACTTCAATTGGGAAGAATTAGGACACAGTATTGACCAAATCAAAGCAAAATGAAAATTGGAACCCTTCAATATCTGGGATCCATTCACATTACTCTGTAATCCTTCAACAAACTGGGGTCACGTCTCTGGCTCTGACCTCTGCAGTAAACACAGCTCATTTTCTCAAATCTGCCTGGCTCCTCTCGACACCTACTATTGGTCTTGGTGTTTATCCTGTTCTATTGGCATCTCCAAGCCACAAGGTTCCTCTGCTGCAA